CCTGAGTCCCTGCCGGTGTGAGCTGTGAGGTGGATCCAGTGGATCTAGTTCAGGGATCAGAGTCCATGTGGTCTCCAGGGTCAGACTGAGTGCAGTGCTGGAAGCTGCTGAATGTTGTTGCTGCTGTCAAACTGCAGGTCAGCAGCTGCTGAAGCCCGTGGTGAGCGTGTACCCAGCAGCATCCAGAGCCCAGGAGGGGACCACCTCCCTGCTGTGTCTGGCCTCGGACATGTTTCCTCCTGAGGTCCGGTTCTCCTGGAAAAGACAGAAGAAGAACGGTCCTCTGGAGGAGCTGAGCTCTGCAGAGGAGGAGCAGCTGGAGCTCAGAGAGAGGCGACGCAGCGCCTCCATCTTGGTGGTCGATCAGCAGGAGGACAGCTCATATAAATACAGCTGCTTCGTCAAACACGAGAAAGAAGAAGTGGAGGTCCAAACTCAAGGTAATGAAGGCTGGTGTTCAGCAGGGATCCAGCTTCATGTCACAGAGAGCAGAGGACACTCTTCTACTGCCGCTCTAAACCTTTGTGTCCTTGTGTGTTTCAGAGCGTCCAGCTGCAGCAGCCTCCTGTCCTCAGCAGAGACAGCCAGCAGAGACACCAGCTCGGTGCGAGTCCTTCCAGAGTGAGTGCAGGGTGAAGCTGCTGTGCCTGCTGTACTCGCTGCTGATCGTGAAGAGCCTGGTGTACTGCTGTGGACTCTCTCTGCTCATGAGCCTCACAACCACGGGAGCGTCCACCAGCTGAACACCTGCTGACTGACTGCTTACTGCTCACCTTTCCTCTCCACCACATCTCATCCATTCAGCTGCTTCTAATCTTCCTGACGACCTGCTGGAGGGGCTTTAAACTGGAGCTTTTCTTCATGATTTACACTTATTGGAAGATCTGAGTCAGGAAGAAGGACTTTTACATTTGCTGTTCTGGACGTTAAAGAGTTAACAGTTAACTGATGTCTGTTCATCATTTTCAGGACGTGTTCTGTGTTTCTATTAGAAAACTCCTGTTTTCACTGTAAAACAATAAAGTTGTTGAGCTGTTTGTGTGTCAGCTGAAGAGATGCTTCCTGGAATGATGGTTGAACCTCAGTCGATGCTTGGAACTGTCGTGTTCTTAAAGTGAGAAGCCACAGCTGACGGTGTGGAGGCTGCAGAGCACAAACCCACACAGCTGCAGGAAATGAAGCGTGATTGGCTGTCAGCACCTTGTTCTGTCCTGATAAGCACAGAGAACACATTCAAAACATCCCTAATGCATCCATACATTTCTATGCTGACGACACAGTTGTTTATTGTCGAGCTAAAACAGTTGCTAAGGCTTTCCAGCTTCTGAAATCTGCATTTAACTTCATCCAGACAGATTTGTTCCACCTCAAACTTGTCCTAAATGCCGAAAAAACCAAAGGGATGCTTTTTTCAAACATGAAGTTGGTCCCAGCAGTTCTTCCTCCGATTTTATCCTCAAATGGTGTCCCCATTGAGTTTGTTGATTCCTCTAAATATTTGGGTATCTTGGTCGACTCACATCTCTCTTTTAAGCTCCATGTGGAAAACTTGGTAAAGAAAGTGAAAGTTAAACTGGGTTTCTTTTTCAGAAACAGATCCTGTCTAACCCTGAATGCTAGGAAACGCCTTGTATCTGTGACTTTCCTTCCCTCAATTGATTACGGTGACATTATTTACATGAACGCTCCTACAAGCACCCTGCAGATGTTGGATGCTGTCTATCATGGTGCACTAAGATTCATAACTGGCTGTGATTATCGCACCCACCACTGCACCCTGTATTCACTGGTTAACTGGACATCATTAACTTCACACAGACTCTCCCACTGGTACATTTTCATCTTTAAATCACTTCTTGGTCTGCTGCCTTCATACATCTCCTCCTACATGTCTCTGTGTGAGTGCAGCTACAGCGTGCGCTCTCAGGACATCATTACCTGCAGTGTTCCCTCAGTGAGGACTGAACTAGACAAAAGGACCTTCTCCTACTCTGCTCCTGTTTCCTGGAATATCTTACAAAAAGATCTGAAGCTCTCGACCTTTGACCTCTCTAAGTGTCTTTAAGAATCTGTTGGACTCCTGGCAGGGACCAATGCAGACATGTTCCTGTTTTTAGTTTTCTACATTTGTCTTGGAATCTAGCTGTTTTTTGTTTTGTTACCTTTTTCCTTTTAGCCATCCTATTTGTTAAAAAAAAAACTGTAGTATGAGTTTTTATAACTGCTTATTGTTGTTGCTGTTGTCCATTGTTGTCATCTTTCTTTGTTGAAATCAGGTCTCTCTTGTAAATGAGTCCTCGAGGCTCAATGGGATTTACCTGTATAAATAAAGGTTGATTGATTGATTGATATCATCACCCCCTCTCTGGCTCTTTGTGCCGCCTGTTTTTTAGCTTCAAAGCAGCCGGCTCTGCTGCTTGTTCATGTGTGGAAACAACAGTGTCGTCAGCGTAGAGTTTGACCTTCTCACTGTCACAAGGCTCAGACACAAACTAAATGATCAGAGGACAAACTGCTCAACCTGCTGCTTTTTCACAAAATACACATTTACCATGAAGAAACTCCTTTATTCCAGTTTCTACTTTACACATTAGGATCATGGAGAATTTAGACAATACAAAACTTACAATCAGTCAAAAACAGCAGCTTAATACACACAATATTTTCAGCTAAACAAAGTACAACATTGTATAAATACAGTATTCTACAAGAAAAGTCATGCTAATTTTTTTAATTGAACGTTAAATATCAGTTTTAATGAAACTTTCACAAAGTGTGTCCAAAGTACCATTTGAGAATCCTCAAAGGTCCACCGCTTGTGTCCAACACAAAGACTGAACTGTGACGGATTCTAAAGCAAAGACATGATGAAGAACAGAAACAGCTTGTTCACCTTCAAACACTGATTTGTTCTCACGGGTGGAGCAACGCTGTCCTCTACTGTCTGATCAGCTTCACTCAGCTTTTAGGTGGAGGTTCTGACTCCATCACCTGGAGTTCTGATCCACTTACTGGAGACACTTTCTAACTGGATAACATAAAACTACAAGAGCTGCTTCCTGGTGAAGACCATGTGATGTTCTCACATCAGCTGACTTCATGGTTCTGGACTGTTCTCTTTTGTTCTTTGTTCATTTAGTGTACAATATTTTTCAGCCTATAACAGTTTTTTGCATAATCTACATGCCCTGCAACTTATACACCAAAGCAACTTATTTATGCCCCCCCACCCCACGCTCCCATATTTATAAACCAATTTTTGGCTGATATATGACCATTGTCATTCATTCTGACATTGAAAATATTGAACACTACCATTTTCAGCTGCTAGACAGCGTTCAAGTTGTATGGCATGTTGTTGTGTCATGTAATAGGTAAAAGTGGCTATTAATGACATAGTTGGCTTGCCACAGCAGTCACCTTCGTCCCAACTCCAGGATCATGCCTGGAGCAACCATCAAATCAGCTGCATTTCGTTGTGCCACCCTGACGAAATGCAGCTGACCACTGAAGTGCATTTATTAAGTTCAACTGAGACACACCTGTACTATAAAGTCGAGCAAACAATTGTTTTTAGGTGGTTATCTTGTTAAAATTAGAAATGCACAGTGAGTCGTCCCTCTGCGCGCTCCCACGAATCAGCTTTTGAAATACAGCAGATTTGACCATCAAAGTGCATTTATTAAGGAAAAGTTAATCCGAGACACACCTTTACTATAATTTCAAGCAAACAAATAATTGTTTTTAAGTGTTATTGTTAAATTCTTGTTAAAGTCCTCCCGCGGCCGCCATTTGGCAGCCAATCGATTTTTGGCACAACACCGGCCCACATCGGGTTGTCAGCGGTGACGCGTAACAAACGCGACACATCAGTGGTGACATATAATAGATGCGACTTATACAGCGAAGCGACATATTTATGGAATGTTCAACTTTATTAGACATATTTACACTGAAGCAACTTATGGGATGGAGTGACATTTACGGCAGAAAATACGGTATATTTTAGATCCTCGTATACGTTTTTTTTTTTATTTAATATTTTTGCGATTGTTGGGTGTAACTGGGACCTTGAGGACATACTTTGGTTCCACCCCAGGTACCATGCTGATTCTGTTTATGCTTTTATTATTCCTATTTAACACAAGGTCATCTGATCTGATTTAGTATTTCATTGTTTCTAATTGTTGTTGGTTTTATATTTTTATTCCATGTGCTGTAAATATATCTTGCTACTTTTTATCTGATGATGTGATATTTTTGTTAAGCACTTTGGTAACAGTTTGTTTTAAATGTGCTCTATAAATAAATCTGACTTGACCATGGGTGATGCAAAAGACAAGAACCTTGAACCTTGATTTATTTATTTTTTTGGGTGGGGTGTGGAGTTTCTGGTCAGACTCTTCGAAGAACTCAACCGATGTTGGGTTGGTCGCCATTGTTCTAACAAGACTGGGACCACAGCGTATTTCCCACAGATGTCTTACCGCTACAGGTTCTGATCCAAGTGGGTTCTCTCGTGTCTGATCAAAACTTGACTTTTAGCGTAACTTTTCCCACATGTTTTACAAGAAAAGGGTTTTTCACCTGTGTGGGTTCTGATGTGCGTGTTCAAATAATATTTATAGCTGAAACATTTCCCACATATTCTGCAAGAAAATGGCTTCTCACCGGTGTGGGTTCTCGTGTGAACAATTAAACTGTGACGTAGAGTGAAACGTTTTCCACATGTTCCACACAAATGTGGCTTCAGGCCTGTGTGGGTTTTCATGTGAGTCATCAAATGACTATTTTGACTGAAACTTTTCCCACATGTTTCACAAGAGTAGGGCTTCTCACCTGTGTGTGTTCTCTCGTGTCTCATCAAATAATGATGACGAATAAAACATTTACCACATGTACCACAAGAAAATGGCTTATCATCTGTGTGGGATTTGATGTGGAGGTCTAAAGATACTTTCAGACTGTACCTGGTGCCACATAGTTGACAAACATGTGGTTTTTCACCTGTGTGGAGTAGTTGATGATACTTTAAATAGTATTTATTCTTAAAGGTTTTCCCACAAACGTCACATTTAGGAGACTCTGTAGCAGACTTAGTTCTGAGCTCACTGTTGGACCCTGAAGACACACTTTCTTTCTGATCTGGACACTCAGCTACAGCAGAGACAACAGAGAGGAGCTGGTGGCTGCTTGGTTCTGGTTCACTGAGGTCATTTTCCTCACAAGTCTCCATGAAGGTACCAGTCTGCTGCTTCAGAACCACCTGCTCTCCCTCTTGACTGATGCAGAGTTCCTCCTGTTCGTCTTTAATCTGTGGAGGTTCTGGTTCCTCCTGGTCCTCTTCAATCTGTGGAGGTTCTAGTTCCTCCTGGTCCTCTTTCATCTGTGGAGGTTCAAGTTCCTCCTGGTTCAGACTGGAGTTCCTCTCCTGCTGCTCAGCATGTCCTTCCTCCTCCTGACAGTCATGTTGCTGTGGGAGGTCTGCAGGGATGAAAGAATCGAAGAGATAATTTATTTCACTGTAATTGTTCATGTAAACAATTACAAGACAAAGAGGAAATATATGGATGCAGTTAGAGGACATGGATGTAGTTGGAGTGAGGACAGAGGACACAGAGGACAGTGAGAGATGGAGGAGGGGTCTCCAGCCAAAAGAAGAAGAAATGGATTAAAGTGGTCTGTCACCAAGACAGATTTCTGTCATCTGTACCGTACCAATTTCTAAAGCACTTACAATCCAACATAGCAGCTGACCGAAGTGCTGTACAAAAAACAAACAAACAAACAGTAAAACAATAACACGCACACTATATATATATATATATATATATATATATATATATATATATATATAT